GAGCCAGACCCTGTCTCAGAAATAAACATATTTTATATATTAATAAATTCATAATAAATGTATATTTGCATATACATTTATGTATTATAATTATATATTTAGACATAAATATATATTTTTATTTTATTTATTTATTTTGAGATGGAGTTTCACCCTTGTTGCCCGGGCTGGAGTGCAATGACGCGATCTGGGCTCACCGCAACCTCCACCTCCCAGGTTTAAGTGATTTTCCTGCCTCAGTCTCCTGAGTAGCTGGGATTACAGTTATGCACCACCACACCTGGCTAATTTTGTATTTTTAGTAGAGATGGGGTTTCTCCATGCTGGTCAGGCTAGTCTCAAACTCCCGACCTCAGGTGATCTGCCCACCTCGGCCTCCCAAATTGCTGGGATTACAGGTGTAAGCCACCGTGCCCAGCCTATATTATATATTTATATATTATAATTACATATATTAATTTTATATAATTATATATAAATATTAATATAAAACAAAGATAATAACTCATCAAAATGCATTATTGCCTGATTATCTTACTCTTACTAAGTTCTTGAAGATTTGCATCTCCCGCGTCAGTAGGTGGAAATCCTAAATCATGGTGTGCTGCTGACTTCTCTCCCCAACTCCATAGTCAGCAATGTCATGGCGGTAGCTTGAAATCAGACGTGTATAAAATCAGGAGAATTTATACATAACATGGCAACTGTTACAAATCAGGACTTTCCCTCTTCCTCCTCTTGCCCAACATACCAGCACACCCCTGATTTTGAGGGAAGTGTTTGCTCTCATGGAAAAGGAGAAGACACAGCGGAGGTTGCCTTTTTCTCAGCAGCAGGGATTATGATCACGAGCACGGGTGTGATATCTGCAGCTGTAGTGGCCACTGTGCAGCCATCTCAGACACTACAGGCGAGAGAATCAGAGGGATTCTGAACCTTGCGCTACTGACCGAGTGAAACACCACCAGCCACCACTGACCCCCAGATCCTCTGTTGGGTAGAAAAAACAAATCGCTGGCCGGGCGCGGTGGCTCAAGCCTGTAATCCCAGCACTTTGGGAGGCCGAGGCGGGCGGATCACAAGGTCAGGAGATCGAGACCACAGTGAAACCCCGTCTCTACTAAAAATACAAAAAATTAGCCGGGCGCGGTGGCGGGCGCCTGTAGTCCCAGCTACTCAGGAGGCTGAGGCAGGAGAATGGCGGGAACCCGGGGGGCGGAGCTTGCAGTGAGCCGAGATCGCGCCACTGCACTCCAGCCTGGGTGACAGAGCGAGACTCCGCCTCAAAAAAAAAAAAAAAAAAAAACAAATCGCTTTTTATCAAAGCCTCTGGTCATCAATTCTACACTTACTCACAGGATTCTGTAACTGAAGCATGTAGAATTAGTATTTGTTGAATTAGTAAATGAATAAACTTGGCCTGATTCTTGAACACGTACTTGGAAACCTCTCACCACATTCCTGCTGAGACATCCAGGTCTATGTCTACTAGGAAGAAGCTAACTACCCAATGAACCAGTCCAGGCAGAGTCTGACAGCTCTGATTAGCACGAAGTTTTTCATCTTATGAAACTGACTTTTTCTTTTTCTTTTTTTTCTTTTCTTTTCTTTTCTTTTTTTTTTTTTTTTTTTTTTTTTTTTTTTGAGACAAAGGCTCACTCTGTCGCTCAGGCTGGAGAGCAGTGGTATGAATATGGCTCGCTGCAGCCTCGATCTCCCAGACTCAAACAATATTCCTACCTTAGCCTCCTGAGTAGCTGGGACTACAAGCGCATGCCACCAAACCCGGCTAATTTTTTTGTTTTTAATTCTTTTGTAGAGACAGGGTCTTGCCATGTTGCCCAGGCTGGTCTCGAACTCCTGAGCTCAAGCAATCCCCCTGCCTCGGCCTCCCAAAGTGTTGGGATTACAGGTGTGAGCCACCATGCCCAGCTGAAACTGAAATTTTCTGATCTCTTGGGACCTCAAAAATAAGTCAAACCCTTCTTTTCCACCATAGCCCTTCTGATGTAAAGAGTTTTCATTCTCTGGAAAAACAAATCAGGGTTTATTGATCCAAGAGTTGGACCAACCCAGTTGGTGGAAACTCCTGACCTAGTTTGACACCGTGAAGGACTAGTTGATACCGTGAAGGACTAGTTGCCGGAATGAGTGACCAACTAGAGACTTCTTCCCAGGCTTTTGCATTAACACATCTTTTTTTTTTTTTGAGACGGAGTCTTGCTCTGTCACCCAGGCTGGAGTGCAGTGGCCGGATCTCAGCTCACTGCAAGCTCCGCCTCCCGGGTTCACGCCATTCTCCTGCCTCAGCCTCCCGAGTAGCTGGGACTACAGGCGCCCGCCACCTCGCCCGGCTATTTTTTTGTATTTTTTAGTAGAGACGGGGTTTCACTGTGTTAGTCGGGATCGTCTCTCGATCTCCTGACCTCGTGATCCGCCCGTCTCGGCCTCCCAAAGTGCTGGGATTACAGGCTTGAGCCACTGCGCCCGGCCGCATTAACACATCTTTTGAGGAAAAAATATAATCACGAACTATTCATATGCCAAAGAAAGCTTCATCTCCATGACACCTTTGATGCAGTCCTCTTCAAGGGAGTAAAGCTCGCCTCTGGCACCTGGGCACCTGGTGGAGATTCTGGGCCCAGTTTAGGATGTGCTGTCAGTTCGCCAGTGCAGTCAGAGCTCACAAGGCTGCTGCATGCTTTATCGATAACTAATCGATAATCACAGTTAATAATTGCATTAGTTATCGTTAATGCATGCAGTAGCCTTTCGAGCTTTTATTGCCTCACCCCACCTAAAGGCTTAAAACAACTCACATTTATTTTCTCCTAGTTTCTGTGGGTCAGAAGCTTAACTGGGTGCCTGTGGCTTAAGGTTTCTCCCAAGGCTGCAATCAATCCATGAGCTGGGGATGTGGTCCCATGAAAAGTCTGGACTCAGAGAAATGTTTCCAAGCTCACTCGCGTGGCTGTATGCAGGCCATATTTTCTCACCAGCTGCTGGTTCCATTGCTGGATTAGTCTATTCTCACAATTCTAGGAAGAAATAACTGAAACGAAGTCACTTCCAAGAGAAGAGGTTTTATTGGCTCCTAGCTCTGCAGTCTGTACAGGAAGCATAGCAGCATCTGCTTTGGGGGAGACCTCAGGAGGCCTCCAATCGTGGTGGTAGGTAAACAGGGAGCAGGCACATCACAGGGTGAAAGCAGGAGCAGGAGGATGAGGGAAGAGGCACTGCACACTTTTAAATGACCAGATTTCATGAGAACTCACTCCTTATCAGGACAGTACCCAGGGAGATAGTGCTAAACCATTCATGAGAAATCCACTCCCTGCGTAAGCCAATCACCTTCACCAGAACTCCACCTCCAACACTGGAGATTGTATTTCAATATCAGATTTGAGTGGGAACACACATCCAAACTCTATCAGTTCCTTACTGCATGAACCCCACATAGGGTAACTCACAAGAAGGCAGCCCACCTCCCCTCAGCACAAGCAGGTGGGGGAGCAAGAGAAAGCGCCTGAGATGGAAGCCACTGTCTTCTTATAACCCAGGACTGAAAGTGACATGCCATTACTTTTGCTGTCTTCTGTTCCTTAGAAGCAAGTCGGTAGGTCCAGCTCACACTCAAGGGAAGAAGACCACACAAGGGCAAAAATACTGAGGAGTGGGGATTATCGCAGGGGCCACTTGCCACAGCTGCTGAAAACTGGTGTGTAAAAAAAAATGTTGGCTTGACTTGGTGGCTCACGCCTGTAATCCCAGCACTTTGGGAGGCCAAGGCAGGCAGATCGTTTGAGCTCAGGAGTTCGAGACCACCCTTGGCAACATGGTGAAATCCCATCTCTACAAAAAATACAAAAATCCAGCCGCCAGGGCAGCTGGTGGCAACGAGTGCCTGGGGTCCCCAGCCGGGGGTCCCAGGCTACGCCAAGAGGCCTGAGATGGGAGGAGAATGGCTTGGAGTCCCAGGAGGGCAGAGGGTTGGCAGTGGAGGCTGACACTGGGTGACTGAGTTCCAGCCTGGGCTACAGAGCCAGACCCTGTCTCAAAAAGTAAAACTGAAAATAAAAAATAAAAAAAATCAGCCGAGCTCAGTGGCTCATGCTTGTAATCCCAGCACTTTAGAAGGCCGAGGTGGGTGGATCACAAGGTCAGGAGTTCAAGACCAGCCTGACCAACATGATGAAACCCTGTCTCTACTAAAAATATAAAAATTACCCTGATGTCACGGCGCATGCCTGTAATCCCAGCTACTCAGGAGGCTGAGGCAGGAGAATCGCCTGAACCCGGGCGGCAGAGGTTGCAGTGAGCCAAGATCACACCACTGCCCTCCAGCCTGGGTGACAGAGTGAGACTTCGTCAAAAAAAAAAAAAGGCAGGGTCAGCCCTCAGACCCACTCCCCATCCTGTGATGTGCTGTCCTCATCCTGTGATGTGCTGAAGGGGGCCCTGGCGCCAAGTCACTGTGCTCTGCTGGGGCCTCTCAGACCATGGCCGTGCCAGGCTGAGTAGCCACTGGATGTTTCTGGTCAGGGCCACCCCACCCAGCAGAGTCAAAAGAGGACCATTTCCATGAGCTGAAGGGAGGCACCAGGGAGGGCAGAGGCTGGAGCTCCAGACTGGAGGTGAAGATGGCAAACCCGGGCATGAGGAGCGACAATGCAAAGCCAGCCGGGTGCAGAGCCACTGCCACCCCACAGCTGCCGTCAACCTCCTTCCTGCCTTTTCTGAATGAGACCTGTAGACTGAGCGGACCAAATACACACCAGGGGTGCCGCGGCTGCCTGAACCGGTTCTCGGAAGTGGAACTGGTATAGGAAAGGTGAAGCTCATTTGTTCAAGTTTTGATACATATTTACCCAATTACTTTCCAAAGAATAGAACAGGTTATCCTCCCACTAGCAGTAAGAGTACAAATTCCTGTTTCATTGCACCTTCCCCAACGTGGATGGTTCTTTTAAACAAACTTTACTAAATGGACAGGCAAAAGGTGGCATCAGGAACTGTTTTATTTCCTTTTGATTATTTGTCATCCAGGATATTTCCTCAAGGGCATTTTTTGCCAGCCATTTCCGTCCATTTTTCTATTTTTCTATTCTTTGAAAAGGTAAGTTTCTGAATAAGATTTGAAGGAAGGCATAAACAACAGTCATTACATTATCATTAGTATGATGTTGATGTCATAGAAAGGGGAAGGAGAGCACTGCAGAGACACCGTCCAGCCCAGCTTCATGGTCAGCACAGGGAAAGGGTCTGCATACATGGAGGAAAGAGAAGCAAGGTGGGATCTATTGAAATTTTAAAATACACAGCTTTGCAGATGCTGCTGCCTCCCAGAGTCCCCTGCCATCAGCCATGGTCAACCCCCCCGTGTTCTTTGACATTGCCATTGGTGGTGAGCCCTTGGGCTAGTCTCCTTCCAGATTTTGCAGACAAAGTTCCAAAGACAGCAGCAAACTTTCATGCTCTGAACCCTGAAGAGAAAGAATTTGGCTATGAGGGTTCCCGCTTCCACAGAATTATTCCAGGGCTGTTGCCCGGGTGGCGACTTCACAGGCCATAACGACACTGGCGGCAAGTCTGCAAGGAGAAATTTGATGACAAGGACTTCATCCTGATTCATCCGGGTCCTGGTGCCTTGTCCATGACAAATGCTGGACCTAACACAAACGGGTCCCAGTATTTCACCAGTGAAGCTAGGACTGAGTGTCTGGGTGGCAAGCACGTGGTCTTTGGCAAGGTTCATGGACACAGTGGAAGCCACAGAGCACCTGAGCCCAGGAATGGCAAGACCAGCAGCAGATCACCACTGCTGACTGTGGACAGCGCTGACGACTGGACTTGTGTTTTCTCTTAACCACAGCCCACTCCTTCCCTAGCTCAGGAGCGCCCCCTCCACCCCATTGCTCACAGCGTCCTATCGTCTTTGTGCTCTCGCTGCAGTTCTTTGGGTTCCACAGTTTCCTTATTCCCCTCCACATGTAGCTGGACTGCAGAGTTACGGTTATGAAATAACAAAATACATAAATAAATGAAATAGACATACCCTAAAATCCACCGATTCCACTTCCTGGTATTACCCCCAGCGAGGCACCCACGGAGACAGGATGCACGTGAGCATGCTCAGGAGAGCACTGTGGATGCCAAGGGCCAACTGGAAACAGCACAGAGGGCAGCAAGAGGGAGATATTCGTTGTGACATGCTGCACACGTGCTGGGAACTCCAGGCAGTTACAACAGCGGGCCGGTCCCCGTGTCTGGGGACGGGAAGAGCTGCACACTGCTGGGTGAGAAAGCAAGCAATGAACATTCCGTGGAATATGACACCACTGTGCAGACCACCCACAGAGCAGAATCCCACTTGTGGCGTGTGGCTGTCACCCACAGGACAAGGCACAGGAGGATCCAGAGCAAGCTGAGGACGGGGCAGGAGAGGGGCAGGATTGGAGGCCGTGATTCCAGAAGATCCTGCCTTCTCCATAACGTTTACATAAAAATAATTCACAATGACATAGTATTTACCTATTTCTTATAGAGCTAAGATGTTATTAAAACCTTTCTGGAAGATCAGGACTTTTTTTTTTTTTTTTTTTTTTTTTTTTTTTGAGACGGAGTCTCGCTCTGTTGCCCAGGCTGGAGTGCAGTGGCCGGATCTCAGCTCACTGCAAGCTCCGCCTCCCGGGTTCACACCATTCTCCTGCCTCAGCCTCCCGAGTAGCTGGGACTACAGGCGCCCGCCACCTCGCCCGGCTAGCTTTTTTTGTATTTTTTAGTAGAGACGGGGTTTCACCGTGTTAGCCAGGATGGTCTCGATCTCCTGACCTCGTGATCTGCCTGTCTCGGCCTCCCAAAGTGCTGGGATTACAGGCTTGAGCCACCGCGCCCGGCCGATCAGGACATTTTGTACGGAGAGCCTGGGCTGGGGTCGTGTATGTGCTGCTGTTGGCGCTGACACACCCGTTGCGCAAAGCAGAGTCTGCTCTGCCCTGCTGCCCAGTTGGGAAAGTCCTGGAATCAGCCCTGAACACAGGCTTCTTTGGCCACTTTTTTTGGACAGAAAAACACAGATGGAAGTCAGTGAAAAGAACATCACCTTTGTTCTTATATTTGGAAGGAAAATAAACATCCGAGCCCAGCAACAGCCACAACCAAAACAAGCGTCCGGAGTGCCCAGCTTATTAACAGCACAAAGCACTGAGGGGTGGGCTGCAGCCTGCAGAGACCAGCCTCCCCTCAGAGCAGGCTTCCCAGCCTGCAGACCCCCAGAGTATGAGCACAATGTCGGTGGTTATATGAGTCTTTTCCGAGAGAAGGGCTATCACTCTCTTCAGACGTTTCAGGGATCTTGAGCCCCAAAAGGTTAAGAATCAATGTATGGGGCACCATTAAATATCGTAGGCATGAAATAATATGAGGTTGAGTTTTGTTAATTTTTCTTTTATTTTTTAGATACAGAGTCTCAATCTGTTGCCCAGGCTGGAGTGCAGCAATGCAGTTGTAACTCAGTGCAGCCTTGAACTCCTGGGCCCAAGTGATCCTCCCACCTCAGCATCCAGAGTGGCTGGGACCACAGGTATCCCTCACCACACCCAGCTAATTAGTTCATTTTTGTAGAGACAGGGTTTTAGTATGCTGCTCAGGCTGGTCTAAAACTCCTGGCCTCAAGAGATCCTCCTACCTTGGCCTCCCAAAGTGCTAGGATTACAGGTGTGAGTCACCACGCCCAGCCCACCACATCGAGTTTTTAATGTAAGCTGCACAAGAAATCAAGAAAATCTTAATGTTCACTCCATAATTAAAAGGATCTTTTGCTTTTCACCTAGCTGGACAAGCAGTTGTCTACACTGAGAGCCCCTCACACAAGTTTCCTGACCGCCCTCACCCCTTGCAACCTTGGGCACCGACACTGAAACCTAGGACCTGCACTTCAAATCCGGCAACGCTGAGGGCAGGTGAATTTCAACTCCTGTTCTGAATGTGCTGCAGCTGCCCTCTCAAATCCAGCTCTCTGCAGACACAACCTCGGACACAGCAAATGCAGAGAGCTGACTTTCCCTGTTTATGGTTATTCTGTGTGTGGAACTGAGGCTTGGAATTGGAATCCCAAGGAGAGATGGTGCCCTGACTTCCTGCGTAATCTTTCCCACACCACGGGGCTCACCAGCCCTGGGCCATCAAGTGTGAACCCACTAAAGCCCCAGCTGCTGCCCTGGCCCTTCTGACTACAAAGCCATTCACTTTCCTAACAGACATGCCTGACCTCATTAGTCAACAATGGGAAGAACGACATCTTAGTCAACTGCAAGCAGTGCTCCTCGGTTTTGTGAAAATTCACCTTAATCTTTTGCTGTAACCCAGCTCATGACCAAGGCATCATTGCATAGATTTGAGGCACTAGAACCCAAACCTGAACTGCTGGAAATGCAGATGCCCAGGCAGACCTCCTGGTCAGGCCTCAAATCCCACCTTCCGCACCTGTTCCTGGGAGAGGAAGTTTGTGCCCATGGTCATCTGTCCCTCTGCTGCTCCATTCAGATGTGTCCACGTCCCCATGGCCCCTCCATCCAAGAGAAAGCAACACACGTGTGTACCCAGGAAACATGTACAAAATGCCTTGCAGCCCTGTGGATTCTTACTGGCCAGATAGCCATGGACTGTGGAATGGAACATAAATACCACACGATGCAGTTCTCCTTGGCAGCAACAATGAGCGAACAAATAACATAGACAATAAAATGAATAATTTCACAGGTACAATGAGTAGCAAACAAAACCAGGCACAAATGAGAACCTGCGTGATTCAATTCATAGAAAGTTCAAGAATACGCAAAACGAACCTGTTGTAACGGAAAGCAAAACAGTGTGATCTCCAGTGTGGGGTGGGTGGCACTGCCTTAAAGGGGCAAGGGGAGCCTAATGGGCATTGCAAATATTCTGTCCTGATCTGAGCAGTTTATGAAAATAAACATTCACACAAAGATCTGTGCGTTTTAGCATGTGCACATTATTCTGCAGTACAATTGTTCTTAATTTTTTAAAGCCCAGCATGAACCAACTGGTAGCCCCCGGGCAAGGAGCAGCCCCTGGGGCAGACTTCTGAGCACAGGGTTGGACAAAACGGGGCAGGGAATGGACCTGGTGGAAAATAACCAGTGAGATGCTCAGAAAATGTTTGCTGAGTGGGACAGCAATCATTTACACCTTAGTATAAATAAATATAGAAAAGGTGTTTTTTTTGTTTTTGTTTTTGTTTTTGTTTTGAGACAGAGTCTTGCTCTGTTGCCCAGGCTGGAGTGCTGTGGCCGGATCTCAGCTCACTGCAAGCTCCGCCTCCCGGGTTCACGCCATTCTCCTGCCTCAGCCTCCCGAGTAGCTGGGACTACAGGCGCCGCCACCGCACCCGGCTAGTTTTTTTGCATTTTTTAGTAGAGACGGGGTTTCACCGTGTTAGCCAGGATGGTCTCGATCTCCTGACCTCGTGATCTGCCCGCCTGGGCCTCCCAAAGTGCTGGGATTACAGGCGTGAGCCACCGTGCCCAGCTAGAAAAGTTTTTTCAAACAGGGAGACTGGAAGCTATTTGGAAATAGGAGGACACTTGGCTTTGGCAAACAGCAGAGCACACTGAAGTAAGTTATTTGCCTTCCTGACCATTCTGCTGAAGATGCTCTGGCTTTAGTCCTTTTCCGGGGCTTGGCGGTTCACAATGTATTCAACAGCATCACCTCACTCGACTCGCACTGCACCCACTGAAACTTGGTAAGGAGTATATATCATCAAGGATCATTAGGAATAAAGAAACTGGAGCTCAAAAAAGAAAAGTTCCGGCGGGCGGTGGCAGCTGTAATCCAGCACTTGGGGCCGACGGCGGATACGAGGTCAGGACGAGACATCCTGGAACACGGTGAAACCGTCTCTAAAAAAAAAAAAACTAGCGGCGAGGTGGCGGGGCTGAGTCCAGTATCGGAGGCTGAGGAGGAGAATCGGCAAACCGGGAGGGGAGCTGCAGTGAGGAGATCGGCCTGCACCAGCGGCGACAAGCGAGACTCAAAAAAAAAAAAAAAAAAAAAAAAAAAAAAAAAAAAAAAAAAGTTCCCGACAGTGACAGAAATTGAAAGTAGCAAAGCCAAAGTTCAGGGATGATTGTTTCCTCTACCAAAAAAAAAAAAAAAAAAAACAGAAATTGGATTAGAAACTGGAGTTTCTTTGATCCCTAAGCACCGATGTTTATAACGTATTCCTATAAGTGGGACTCAATTTCTGTCTCAGGCACTCGCTCTTGGCTGGGAGTAGGGGGTGAAGCCGTTCACTTCTGTCGTAGTCTGTCCCACTCACACTGCTGGAGCTGACCAGGCCGGCCCTTCCCTCGTGGGATTTGAGTCTCACACACCCTGTGAGACGGACAGGCTGCTGCCCTGTGACAGATTAAGATCCAAGGCTTGGGATAGTTATGTGAGTCGCCCGGTCACCCAGCTAGAGGAGGTAAAGCCAGGCTAGGAAACTAGGTCTCAGCTGTGCCCAGCACATGCTAAGACTTGGGGAGTGAGGAGGCATCCATACTTCCAAGAAAGAGCAGAGCCCACTGTGGCATCACCCCACAGATACTGCTGGGAGCCCAGGGAAGGCAATGCTGAGGACCCTCCCTGAGGGTGTGGGTGTCAGGCGGAGCCCACTGTTCACAGCTGCACAGACTCTGTGACAACAAACATTTGGTGAATTGAACTAAAAAGCTAGGTTCCCAATCATGGTTGCCCGGGCACACAGTCGTTGTTGAATACGGATGGATGACACCTGTCCAGTGAGAGTAGAATGAATTTGTGTGCTGGATATGGGAATGTGCTGGAAGGCTGGGCATGACTCTCATCATTTTCTTCATTGTCTGTTGCATTTGCAGCCAAGTCCCCTGGAGCTCAATCTGCCCTCTGCCCTCTGCCCTCTTCCCTCTCTCCCCACCCTCCTAGTGCAGCACTCCAGGATTCCCACTCAGCAGCAGGGCAGTGACCAGCTTTTACTCCCAGCCCAAAGATCTGCATGAGAACCAATGCACACCAGGTCTGTGCCGCCTCCCTGACCAAGTGGTCCCCAGGGCCTGGTTTCACCACCATCTCCGCTTCCACCACAGACTTGCTCCCGTCCAGGGTTCCTCATCTCTCCAGTCTCCCAAGCTCAAACCCAGGGTGATCTCCCACTGGGTCCCTTCTGCCATCACCATGCCTGGAAATGTTTGCTAGTCCCCACCCCACCCCCAAGTCCACACTCAGTGCACAGGTCTTTATTTATATTTTGTTAGAAGTGACAATGTCACTATGGTTATGTATGAGATCATGTCCTTGTTTCTTCAGAGACGCAAGCTGAAGAAATTAATTTGGAGGGGTTCAAATAAAAATAGAGATAAATAACAAATATGTCAAAATGTTAACAGTGGTTGAATCCAGGGGCTGGGTGTAAGTGTGCTCATTGTACTGTTCTCATATCTATGCACATATATATGTGTGTGTGTGTGTGTGTATATATGTATATATTTTTTTTCTTTCTTTAGAGAGGAGGTTTCACTCTGTTGCCCACGTTGGAGTGAGTGGCATGATGACAGCTCACTGCAACCTCAAACTCCTGGGCTCAGGTGATCCTCCCTCCTCAGCCTCCTGAGTAGCTGGCACTACAGGTGCTCGCCATCATGCTTGGGTAATTATTATTATTATTGTGTAGAGATGGTACTCTCACTGTGTTGCCCAGGCTGGTCTGAAATTCCTGGTTTCAAGCTATCCTCCTGCTTTAGCCTCCCAAAATGCTGGGATTACAAATACAAGCCACCACCCTCAGCCCTGTTCTTTCTATATATCTCTATATTTAGAAAATGAACTTTTTCACAATAAAAAGGTTGGAGGTAAGTTGACCTGAATTGATTGGACCCATTTTCTCATCGATCCAATTGGGGCTGTGAGAGGGAGGGGCACTGAATGGCCTCCCAAGGCTGTGTCTGGCCCAGTGCCTCTGGGGGAAACTGCCCCTGTGAGCCTGGGGCTGGGGGTTCCCAGCAGGAGGAGTCCTAGACTCTGGAAGGCAATTGCCTTTGGCTTCAACAGTCCTGCAAGTCACAAGGCTTGTTGATCACTTTCTGAGACCCATTGTGGAAGAGGCACAGGGTCAGGTCTAAAGAGATCAGGTCAGCCTGCTCAAACCAGGTGGGGTCAGGAGGAGCCGGCGGGGATCCCGCTGCAGCTCCAGAAACGCAGTTCCCAGGCGGCAGTCAGCAGTGGGGCACAAGAGGATGTCCGAACAAGCCTCCAACCCAGAAAGTTACACCTCTTACTGCCGGAGTCCCACCCCTCAACACAGAGCCCACCTCTTCAGTTCTGTAGTGAGGGGTTCTGGGAACGCCTGTGACTGCCCGCCTTCCTCGGAGGTCTCAGAGGCCCCAGTAGCATCTTCTGATGGGAACAACCATGAGAGCAGGGTGTGGACGGAAAGCCCCCAGCCCCAGCGAGATTCGCTCTCTGCCTCCTCACTCTGCGAAGGTCCCTACTACAGCTAAAAGGCAATTCATGCCGTCCAAAGGTTCCCTTCCCCTGCCGTTCCGCACGCCCTTCTCACTGTCCCCAAATGCTCGTGGCACGGCCTTGAGAGCAGCGCAGCGGGCAGGAAGCCCAGGCGCCCCGGAGAACCTGAAGGGCTGCAGGTCGGGGTGTCTGCGGCAGCGTCCGCACCCCTGCAGGGCCCCAGCGGCTCGCTGAGCCTGGGGCTGGGCTCCGGGGGACTCCAGCGCTGGGGGCAAGTGGCGCTCACACCCGTCTCCTGACTCGCCCCACCCGTGGCCTGGGTTTAAAATCCACGCCCCGGTCTTTCCGCGGCCAAAGCGATGCTGCCGGGGTAGGTGATGACCCCAACTGCCCCGACCCCTAGAAGTGCAAACCAAACAGGCTGACCCGTGACCACACGAGACCCGCGGAGCATCTGGGCTTCCAAGGTCCTCGGTACCGCCCGAGGCAGCGAAGGACACGCGGCTCCAGGCGGCAGGAGCCAGGGACCACCGCGGGCTTCCAGAGCGCGAAGCCGCGAGCCTGGGCGGTGGAGAGCCGGTGCCAACGTCCTGCCCTGCGCCTGTCAGGCATTCGCCGGGCTGGCGGGCGGGCGGGCGAGGGCGGGGCCGCCGCACTTTAAGAGACGGTGCAGGCAGCGAGGCCTCCAGGCCGGCGAGGGGATCCGCGCCATGGAGGCCGCCCGGGACTATGCAGGAGCCCTCATCAGGCGAGTGCCCCCGCGTCCCCTGAGCCCCGCGTTCCCGTGCGCTTCCAGTCGCCCTGCGTTCAGTGCCTCGCATTCCCCTGTGCGCCTCTGGTGCCGTACCCGGCTCCGCTCATCCCCCCGCTCCCCGCATTCTCTTGCGCTCCACGACCCCGCGCACACACCCATCCGCCCCGCCGGTGCCCAGGCCGTCCAGCCGCGCCCGCGGTCAGAGCCCAAGCCCGTCCCGCGCCTCCTCACCCTCTTGCAGCTGGGCGCAGGTGCCAGGGGTGGCTCTCGCGAGGTGCGCGGGCGTCTGCAGACCGGGTGACAGCTGACGAGTGGCTGCATCTCTGGCCGCTGCTGCAGTCGCGGGCGCAGAAGAGGGTCCGGTCCCAGGAACCCCGAGCAAAGCCTCCACGGTGCGAGGGGAGCGGACTTCTGGGGGTCCTGGAAATCGCAGCGGGAGCTGGGCGCGGGAGTGGCCCGGGCTTGGCCCCTCCTGGAAGCGCGGGCTCTGGTCTCCGAGGGGAGCCCCCGACCGGCCGGCGGAGCCCGCCAGGTTGGTGGTGCTGGGAGAAGAGCTCCTCCTGCCTCCGGGTCCAAGGGCAGAGACGCTGCAGGGGAGCAGGGGGACAAGGGGCAGGTGGACCCTGCGGAGTCTTCCCTGCGCTTCGCACCCGCTCGTGGTCGAACAGGCAGCATAGGCTATTTTCGTGCTTGGGTTAATCTTCATATTCCAGCAGACCCAAGCCAATTCTTGGTAAAATCCTAAGTCGTTGCGTGGCAGCAACTGTAAAGTATAGGTCTGAAAGGGAGATCGTGTTTCTCTGAAGATCAAGTACCTGAAAAAAGGATAGAGAACCGCTTGCGGGCTTGAAGGTGCAGGCGTCCGGCGGCGCCGGATCCCACTGTGTGCTACGCGTGGCGGGCAGAGAGACCACACGGGTGAAAGGGAGCGTTCCGGCTACAAAACGCGATCTATGAGCTTCCCATCCCGGGTTCTTAAATGGGAGTTGTAGACACTGCAGGTTAGAAGCATCTTTCTCTTTTAAAACAAGCCCACGGTACAAGTCTGGGCGCTGGCAGGTGGAGCTGAGAAATACCTGCTTCGTGTACGCTTAGGCCTAAAGGTCAGGGCCCTGTTTCTTTTGCGTTCTTCCAGCACCATCCAGCCCACAGTCCCACTTCCAGGAGGTGAGGACTTAGCAGTTTGGATGCGTCCATCCAGTGAATTCACAACACACCGATGTTCCCCCGGTGCATGAGGGAAGGAGGTGTGGGCTGACTCTGCACTAACCAATCCTGGGTGGCCTCTGAGCAGGATTCAGGCTGATCCTCTCCCTGCCTCTGACTATTACAACAACTCATCAAAATCCAAAATGCATCTGTATGGGGTCTCCGTGAGGTCAAGTGTGAAGTGGAAGTGACTTGCTTATGAGCTGTTAACAAATGAAACAATGGGAAACCCTGAGTCTCCTAGGACACGTTCCTTCTAGCTTGGCTCCTCCCAGGATTGAATGACTTCACCTGTTAGGGATAAACTGTTGTTGCAGTTCTTTGAAATCCACCTGCTTCCAGGCTGAACTACTGTCATTCTGTGAAATCTACCTGTTTCCAAACTAAACTGGAAGAAAACAATCTGTAATTCTTGTTGAAGGGAAGACGCTTTTTCTTCCCTGCCCTTCTCAAAAAAACCCTGTCCGGGCAAAAGAGCCAGAGGCCAGGTCCTAACACATTTGCTAATTGTGCTCTTGCTGGACTTCTGCCTCCTGTCAGGGTTCCTTAATTTAAACCAGGTCCAGGATATCATAACTCTGTCTTTATCAGTAACTACATTTTGCCAAGGAAATAACTTAATCAATGTGCACAATTTCTAAAAATCAGGTACTTGTAGTCAGTGGTGAAACCTTAACCCAACAATTTGTTAGTCAGCTGGAATCATTAGGGGCCTTGGTCCTGAGGAAAGCAGCCTGAGGTCTCACAGCAAAGCTCCAGACATCAAGGAGGTCCACGCGCAGGTTGACGGTCACAGACAAAGTCTGCGCTGTTCGTGTGTCCTGCCAGTGATAACATTCCTGCCAAACGCTGAAGTTGTTATGAAGCTGATACCTGTTATAAACCTCGTGTGAAATGGCTGCTTTCATAGCCATCCAGTACATCTTTCCTTTCCTTGAACAAGGAACTCTAGGTTTGGTGCTGCTATTTCAGTACAAATTTCACCACAGTCTTCTTAGAGACATTACTAAGGAATTAAGTTTGCTGCAAGTGAATCTCATCTTTCTGCTTCTTGAATCTAAATTCTTATTTTAATGAAGCTGCAAAGTGTTCAAAGACTTCATGGTCATGTATTGAAAACTTGATAACGTCAAGTTTTTTTAGGGAGCTTGCAAAGAACTGAGCCATGAGCCAGGCAGTCTTGTCGGGGTGAGTTCATCTGGGGGGCAGGTGCGCTCCCACCTGTGTATGTCACATCCAAGAGCCCTAGGGCAGCCGGGCAGCAGGAAGCCTCATCGAGGCAGCACTCGCTTCTCTGCCTCCTGCCATTGACCCCACCACCCTCTGATGCTGTCCCTACAGCCCAGGGACTCTTCTCCAGGCCTGTGGAGCAGTTTCCCAGCCCTCCCTTCCTTCTCCTTTTCTTCCTAATGATGAGACGCAGGGTTCCCTTAGCCATCACTGCCCCCCGAATATTCCCGGGCACCATCTTACCTGTACTGCTGCCCCTCACCATTGACACCAAAACATTTGCTTTGAGGAAGACCTTAATCCTGGGCCCTTTTCCTCCATAGGTGGCATATAAAGAAAGCTTTTTAATTCTCTGTACAGCTCAGGGTTGTTTTACTGGAGAAGAGTTCAGGTCTACTGTCAGTCTGTGGCTTGTTGGTGTATTTCACACACTTTTGGAAGTTGGCGGTGCCTCGCCTCCCTCAGGGCGGAATACAAAACCTTCCCTTCCTGCCCGTTTCTGGAAGACACGCCGTTTCACAGCGTTCTGTGAAGTCTGACTTTTCCTCTCTGGATTTCTCTGAAACAGCCTATTTCCTTAAACAACCTGTTTCCTTGTATCTTCCCTGTTAGAGGTTATTTCCCTTTCTGTTTCCTGCGGTTGTCTGTCCCCACTTTCACAGGAATTGGGAGCGGCGGTTCTCACATGTGGTGTGTCTAAACGCAGGATCCTAGGGCTGCTCAGCGGCCCTGCTTTTAGGCACGGTGCTGATGGCCAGTGATAGAGATGACTCTACTCAGCGGGCTGGAGGTGAGTTGGGTGGAGACGGTGGCTTGTTCACGTAGCAACAGATTCGGTACCTGTAGGCCTGGCGTGCAGAACATCTCATTTAACCACTTTCTGTGTTACATATGAGATGGTCTTGATTTTACATAATTTGACTCAGAAATCACTCGCCTTCCTCTTTGACAAGAAGGTGGGGGTAAATTTCCTGTCCTCAGTGCCCCCACCAGCCTTTCCTCCAGCAATGACCCAGCTCTTGGTTGGGAAATGCTACAGGTGAGAACAATAGGTGTTTTTTCACTGACAATGGTGATCTTGAGGGCAGGTGAAGGCAGGGAGAACCAGAAATGGTTGCCAGCTCTTATCTTGTCAGACAGGTAAAGACCGCAGGAACTTGGAATTAATCATTTGGGCCAGGTCACTGGAGCACAGGTGCTTACGAAGGCGTGAGCATGTTCGTCCAATGAGGAAATGCAGGGCCAGGGCTAACTAGGTCAAAGCTGCGCCTTTGATCACTGGGGCTGCATCTAGCATTGGAAGACATGGACCGTGTTCTCTCATTTCTCTGATTTTGGCCTGGCATCTTTAACTCAGTAAATAGATGGTGTGCTGATAGGTACTGCGTGAAAGTAGGAAATGCACCGCCAGACCCCATGAGACAGATGCTAGAAGCCTTGTGCAAGACTGCGTTGACCTCCTGCTTTGGGGGCAAAGAGAGGGTGTTTCTTCCTGCTGAGGCCGGGCCCTTCTCTCCTGTGGGAGCCGCCTCTTCTGGCCAGGTGCTGGGTGGAAGGTAGAGCTGGGCTCAGACTCTGGTCTAGCCTTTGCTGCCCTGACGACTCCCTTCCTGCTTTCCCCAGGCCTAGGTTTCACTGTCTGTAAGGTGGATCCCAAGCGGTGCTAACGCAAGTCGCTAGCTCTCACACACGAAGGTTTGGCATCCAGTGGCCCTCGGGCCTTTCTCTCTCTCTCCTTGTGGGGACTTCAGCTCATTTAAGTCTCAGCTGCTGTGATGAGGTGGAGGCGACTCCTGGGTTCTGAATGTGAAATGTAACACGGCCGGTCCTCGCCGCCCTCTCCCCCCGGTCACCAGGGGTGAGAGTGTGCGAGAATTCCCCGTGGTGTCAGCACAGCAGTGTTGTTCATGGCATTGTGTAACTGAGAACCCTGCGTCAGTCTCTTAATCGAGGTGACAGTTCAGAAGCTGTGTGCCAGTCCTGGGGCCGTGTTGGGGCACAGCCCGGCTGGGCAAGGCTCTGATTGACTTGGTGGGCCCCTGGCAATGGTGTGTAGGTCATTCTGACAGGTCCAGACCCCAACCCAGCACATTTCCCTCCGGCTTGCCTTATTGAAAACAAATTGTGGCCGGGCCCGGCAGCTCAAGCCTGTAATCCCAGCACTTTGGGAGGCCGAGACGGGCAGATCACGAGGTCAGGAGATCGAGACCATCCTGGCTAACACGGTGAAACCCCGTCTCTAAGCCGGGCGAGGTGGCGGGCGCCTGTAGTCCCAGCTACTCGGGAGGCTGAGGCAGGAGAATGGCATAAACCCGGGAGGTGGAGCTTGCAGTGAGCTGAGATCCGGCCACTGTACTCCAGCCTGGGTGACAGAGCGAGACTCCGTCTCAAAAAAAATAAAAAATAAAAATAAAAAATAAAAGCATGCAGTGTAATCATGTGTTGAAGGCAGTTTTGCTTTTCTTTTCTTTTTTTGTTTTTTCATTTGGAGTCTCACTATGTCATCCTGGCTGGAGTACAGTTGTGCGACCTTGGGTCACTGCAGTCTTGACCTTCTAGGTTCATCAGGGCTAAGCAATCCTCTCACCTCAGCTTCCCGAGTAGATGAGAGTATAGGTGCACCACCACACCCAGCTAATTTTTTTATTTTTATTTTTTTATAAAGACAGGGTCTCACTATGTTGCCCAGGCTGGTCTTGAACTCCTGGGTTCAAGCTATCTTCTTGCCTCGGCCTCCCAAAGTACTGGAATTACAGGCGTGAGCCACCATGTCCAGCAGGTTTTGCATTGCTATCAAAAGTTTCATCTGGGAGGCTGAGGCAGGAGGGAGGACTCCTTGAGCCCAGGAGTTCAAGACCAGCCTGGGCAACAAAGTAAGGCCCTGTCTCTACAAAAATACAAAACTCAGACGAACATGATGGCTTGCACCTGTAGTCCCAGCTACTCAGGAGGCTGAGGGAGGAGGATTGCTTGAGCCCAGGATGTCAAGGCTGCAGTGAGTTGAGATCACACCACTGCACTCCAGCCTGGGCAACAGAGCAAGACCCTGTATCTAAAAGGAAAAAAAAAAAAAGGTAAATGTTTGAATTAATTTTTTGATAAATGAGGACTTACTCCAAAGTGTCCTGTGAGGCAAGCCCTGTGGGTCTTTTCTTTCTTGTGATTCCAGCCACAGTTCTGAGAGTGGTTCTGCTGTTCTTGGTTCATCCTAAGTTGATTTCAGAAACTTCATTGATTGCTATAGTGACCAATATCACACTTTTGAATTGATTTCTGGCTCACCCTTGCTGTATAAACAGGTAGCTGTATGCACGTGTCTGAGGGCCTTGCTAACTCTGTGTAACTGCTTCATGGTCACTAGAAATCATTCTTTTGGATTTTTTAAATCTCTAAAACCCATGCATATTTGCAGAATATAAGTCTTATTTCTTGTTGGAGTTGAATGCCCTAACCATTCCTTCTCAAAGAGTTTCGGCAAGGACCTTTGGATGTTCTAGTAAAATAGGAATAAAGATGGTTGTGTTTTTGGCTTGATGCGTTGTTTCTTCTTTGGAATTATGTGTACATGTGTATATATAATTTTTAGTAATCCCAACCACTGAATTGCTTTATTTTAGATGCAAATATTAAAAATGCATTATTTTTATGTACTTTCACACTTCTCATGAGAGACTCTTTTTAAAAAGTTTTACTTTTCACCTCCATTTTCAGGCCCCTGACATTTATGGGATCACAGACTAAGCGAGTCCTGCTCAGCCCGCTCACGCACCCAGCTCGCCCATTCCGGGTCTCCAACCATGACAGGAGCAGCCGGCGTGGGGTGATGGCAAGCAGCCTGCAGGAGCTCATCAGCAAGGTGCTGCAGAGCCCGCACCTCTCCCCCAGTCCACAGGGGGGCGCCCTGCACTCACGCGAGGCCATGGTCTTGGGCTCATCAGCAAGGTGCTGCAGAGCACGCACCTCTCCCCCAGTCCACAGCGGGGCGCCCTGCACTCACGCGGGGCCATGGTCTTGGGATCATCAGCAAGCTGCTGCAGAGCACGCACCTCTCCCCCAGTCCACAGGGGGGCGCCCTGCACTCACGCAGGGCCATGGTCTTGGGCTCATCAGCAAGGTGCCGCAGAGCCCACACCTCTCCCCCAGTCCACAGGGGGGCGCCCTGCACTCACGCGGGGCCATGGTCTTGGGCTCATCAGCAAGGTGCTGCAGGCACTTCTCCCCCAGTCCACAGCGGGGCGCCCTGCACTCACGTAGGGCCATGGTCTTGGGCTCATCAGCAAGGTGCTGCAGAGCACGCACCTCTCCCCCAGTCCACAGGGGGGCGCCCTGCACTCACGCGGGGCCATGGTCTTGGGATCATCAGCAAGCTGCTGCAGAGCACGCACCTCTCCCCCAGTCCACAGGGGGGCGCCCTGCACTCACGCAGGGCCATGGTCTTGGGCTCATCAGCAAGGTGCCGCAGAGCACGCACCTCTCCCCCAGTCCACAGGGGGGCGCCCTGCACTCACGCGGGGCCATGGTCTTGGGCTCATCAGCAAGGTGCCGCAGAGCCCACACCTCTCCCCCAGTCCACAGCGGGGCGCCCTGCACTCACGTAGGGCCATGGTCTTGGGCTCATCAGCAAGGTGCCGCAGAGCCCACACCTCTCCCCCAGTCCACAGGGGGGCGCCCTGCACTCACGCAGGGCCATGGTCTTGGGCTCATCAGCAAGGTGCTGCAGGCACTTCTCCCCCAGTCCACAGCGGGGCGCCCTGCACTCACGTAGGGCCATGGTCTTGGGCTCTAAGCCAGGGCCAGCACAGAAAGGTCAAGAAAAGCTGCATCTCACCAGGAGGAAACGGGGAGAGAAATTGGGAATGACTGCTGGTGGTTCTGGAGTTTCTTTTTCTTTTTCTGTTTTTGAGACAGGGTCTTGCCATACTGCCCAGGCTGGCCTCAAACTCCTGGGCGTAAGTGATCCTCCCACCTCAGCCTCCCAAGTGCCTGCCAGTTTCTCTCTTGGCAGTGGTGGTGAAAGTGCCGTAAAATTGATTGTGGTGACAGTGGTCCAACTCTGTGAGCATACCAAAACCAAGGCTCTGTATACTTTAAATGAGTGGATCGTATAACATGTGAATTATATATCAATAAAGCTGGTTTTAAAAGGGGAGGAAAAGAAAGAAGGAGAAACAGCAACTTAAACTCATCAGACCTTCTCTTGGCCTCAGAGACTCTGAGAGTAAAGGTTGGGTATAAATGATCAAGGGGAACATTATATCTCTGTACCATAAAACATTGAGGTACAGAGACAAAAACTTTAAAACAGTCACTAATGGAGAATGTCACTTTGTTTCTTTGACAAGGGAGGATGCAGGGATGGAGCCGGCTTTGGAAGTCTGGGTTTAGTTGTAAAGGCCGGAATCTAGAACAGTGTCCTAGACCACCAAATAAGGAAGAACCCTAGCCTCTCAGGGAAGCGTAACTCAGACTCAGGCACCCATGGAAATGAGAAACAAGCATCCAACACACAGTCTCTGAAGCAAGAGAGATGCTCAGCTATGCACATGACGCTGTGGCTCTTACAGCAGCAAACATGCAGGAGTTTTGTTTTTATTCATCTAAATAAATAGGTAATCTTAGAAATTACTAATATTATTTAATGTAATCATTATCTCATGTATCTTAAGAAGACAGATCCATTAAAAATCTTAACTTCCTGGCCGCATGCAGTGGCATGTACCTGTAGCCCCAGCCACTCCGGAGGCTGTGGCAGGAAGATTGCTTGAGCCCAGGAGTTCGAGGCTGTGATGCACTATGGTTGTGTCTGTGAACAGTCACTGCACTCCAGCCTCGGCGGCATAGTGGGTCCGCATCTTAAAAAGAGCATTCTTCACTTCCCTGCTTCCGAGCAAAGACTGAGTCATAGACACAAGTCAAGGTTACCTTTACCATTAAAATTTTGTCAGAATCAGCCAACAGTTCTGAAAACTGTAACTTAATAAATGTCATTGGATGGTCACATGGAAATATCTGGCTTCACTCCATTTCTCTGCTGCGTTGCCCACCTAGACTCTGGATGCCCTGGTCATCACCACTGGACTGGTCACTCTGGTGCTGGAGGAAGATGGCACCGTGGTGGACACAGAAGAGTTCTTTCAGACCTTGGGAGACAACACGCATTTCATGATCTTGGAGAAAGGACAGAAGTGGATGCTGGTAAGCAAAAACACTGTCACCCAAACAGCTACTCGGTAGACTTTTTACCTACAAAAGTTCACGCCCTACTTGGCTGCTGACTTGTCCACATTCTTTTTTTTTTTTTTTTTTTTTGAGACGGAGTCTGGCTCTGTCGCCCAGGCTGGAGTGCAGTGGCCGGATCTCAGCTCACTGCAAGCTCCGCCTCCCGGGTTCACGCCATTCTCCTGCCTCAGCCTCCCGAGTAGCTGGGACTACAGGCGCCGCCACCTCGCCCGGCTAGTTTTTTGTAGTTTTAGTAGAGACGGGGTTTCACTGTGTTAGCCAGGATGGTCTCGATCTCCTGACTTCGTGATCCACCTGTCTCGGCCTCCCAAAGTGCTGGGATTACAGGCTTGAGCCACCGCGCCCGGCCTTTTTTTTTTTTTTTTTTTGAGACGGAGTCTCGCTCTGTTGCCCAGGCTGGATGGAGTGCAGTGGCGCGATCTCGGCTCACTGCAAGTTCCGCATCCCAGGTTCATGCCATTCTCCTGCCTCAGCCTCCTAAGTAGCTGGGACTACAGGCACCCGCCACCTCGCCCAGCTAATTTTTTGTATTTTTACTAGAGGTGGGGTTTCACGGTGTTAGCCAGGATGGTCTCGATCTCCTGACCTCATGATCCGCCCACCTCGGCCTCCCAAAGTGCTGGGATTACAGGCGTGAGCCACTGCGCCCGGCCAACTTGTCCACTTTCTAAATATGCACTTTGTAATCACCTAACAACTGGATCCACTGCCCTCAAAGGAATTCTTACAAGTGTTTCTAGGAAACTTAGTCTCTCTGTGAACTGAGACTATTTGACATAAAGCAAATAATTCCAAGGAACAGGTTTTGGCCAGTGAGTAGCTACAGATCCTGTAAAATGCACAGAATTGACTTGGCAACTCTTCATCATCTCTGTTCTTAGAAGGCTGGAAAATTAACACCGTCAAGGAAGTTAGGGAGAGGGGTGTGTGTGCATGCGTGCACATGTGTGAGTATGGAGATTTAGAAAAGTAAAGAGACAGAATGAAGACTTCGGTCTCTGGGGAAACTATAGATAATATGGCTCAAAAAACGTTCTCTGTATAAAATGCCTAAAAATGTAAAGCACAATATCAAAATATATCTTCATATAATAAACTGATCTCCAAGAAAGAGAAATCCTCAGTGCTTAAAATTTTGTGAGGCCAGCATCCAGAGAGGAACGCGCACACTGAAGCTGGCAGCTCCCCGGGCGTCTCCTCTGGGGTTCCCCCACCTGTGAGCACCCACTGACCTCAGGGACAGATGCTGGGAGGACAGAGACAGCCTCCAGCTGACACAAAGTCGGGGGTGAGATTCGAGGGTCTGCGTAAAGCCCGGGATCTTAGAGCTCTCTCCTGGGAATTTCGGCCCCAAGCTGCCCTCATGAGGGTTCAGGCATTGCTGAGTCCCAAACCCCTAAGCTGAGAGTTCGGTTTTCAGAGATCTGGGGGAGCAGCATCAATGGAGGGGTTTGCTCATTGGATTCTCTTTGCTGCAGCCCCATTTCCAGGGTGGAAGTGCCCCAGGTAACTAGTAGGAGCTCAGGCAGTTCCCTTGGGATGAACGTCCATCCTGGCCTCAAAGAGTTTTCATTCCTAACGTTCTCACAATGCAAGTTCACAGTCAAAACACTGAACGTAAGGACTCAGGCGCCACATTCATGAGAGTAAGCAGAAGCGCCGGGCGCAGTGGCTCAAGCCTGTAATCCCAGCACTTTGGGAGGCCGGGACGGGCAGATCACGAGGTCAGGAGATCGAGACCATCCTGGCTAACACAGTGAAACTCTGCCTCTACTAAAAAATACAAAAAACTAGCCAGGTGAGGTGGCGGGCGCCTGTAATCCCAGCTATTCGGGAGGCTGAGGCAGGAGAATGGCGTAAACCCAGGAGGCAGAGGTTGCAGTGAGCTGAGATCCGGCCACTGCACTCCAACCTGGGCGACAGAGCCTGACTCTGTCTCAAAAAAAAAAAAAAAAAAAAAAAAAAGGCCGGGTGTGGAGGCTCAAGCCTGTAATCCCAGCACTTTGGGAGGCCGAGACGGGCGGATCACGAGGTCAGGAGATCGAGACCATCCTGGCTAACACAGTGAAACCCTGTCTCTACTAAAAAAGAAAATACAAAAAACTAGCCGGGCGAGGTGGCGGGCGCCTGTAGTCCCAGCTACTTGGGAGGCTGAGGCAGGAGAATGGCGTAAACCCGGGAGGCAGAGCTTGCAGTGAGCTGAGATCCGGCCACTGCACTCCAGCCTGGGTGACAGAACGAGACTCCGTCTCAAAAAAAAAAAAAAAAAAGAGTAAGCAGAAGCAATAAAGTCAGGCCTGCCAGGACGGCAGATGTTGGAATCATCAGATACAGCGTATGAAATTAGTGTACTGAAAATGCTCACCTAAGGCTAAATTTGACTGACTAGATAAATAAATAAATAAATAAAATGCTCAAAGAAGCATTAAAAAGTAAGAATAGCCCGGAATTGAAGACCAGCCTAGGCAACATAGCAAAACCCCAATCTCTACAAAAAAAAAAAAAAAATTTAAGAATTAGCTGGACAAGGTGGTACACACCTGAAGTCCTAGCTACGTAGGAGGCTGAGGCGGGAGGATCACTTGAGCCTGGGAGGTGGATGCTGCAATGAACTATGATCGCACCACTGCACTCCAGCCTGAGAGACAGAGCAAGACCCTATCTCCAAAAAAATAAAAAATAAGAAAAAACCAGCCTAAGCAACATGGCAAAACTCCATCTCTACCAAAAAATACAAATATTAGCCTGGCATAGTGTGCATGCTTGTAGTTCCAGCTACTTAGGAGGCTGAGACGGGAGAATCACTTGCACCTGGGAGGCCGAGGCTGCAGAAAGTCATGATTGCACCGTTGCACTCCAGCCCCAGGGACAGAGGGAGACCCTGTCAAAAAATAAAAGTAAATTAAAAAGGAACAAGAGATAATAAGAACTGACTGCACAGATTTAAAATAATCAAATAGAATTTTTGGAAATGAAAAATATAACAACTAAAATCAAGTAAATGGAGACTCAAGTTAGACAGAGCTGAAGGTAACGTTAAAAGATCTGAAAGATGTTGCCTGTGATGTAACACAAAGCAGTAGAGGTGGGGAACACGAAGGATGTTAGAGACCAGACTGAAATCTAATCTCTTCCTTTTTGGCATCCTCAGGTAGGGAAGGATTTTTTTAAAACAAGACACAATGCGCAAGTCTCTTTCTCTCTTTTTTTTTTTTTTTTCTTTTTTTTGAGACGGAGTCTCACTCTGTTGCCCAGGCTGGAGTGCAGTGGCGCAATCTCGGCTCACTGCAACCTCCACCTCCTGAGTTCAGGTGATTCTTCTGCCTCAGCCCCCCAAGTAGCTGGAACTACAGGTGTGTGCCACCACACCCGGCTAATTTTTGTATTTTACAGAATTTAGCCCCAGAGATGGGGTTTCACCATGTTGGCCAGGCTAGTCTCGATCTCCTGACCTTGTGATCCACCTGCCTCAGCCTCCCAAAGTTCTGGGATTACAGGCGTGAGCCACCACACCAGGCCAACACAATGCACAAGTCATTTTTTTAAAAAAAGAAATCAATTCATTTAAGAATGTTGTCCATCAGCCGGGCGCGGTGGCTCAAGCCTGTAATCCCAGCACTTTGGGAGGCCGAGACGGGCGGATCACAAGGTCAGGAGATCGAGACCATCCTGGCTAACACGGTGAAACCCCGTCTCTACTAAAAACTACAAAAAACTAGCCAGGCGAGGTGGCGGGCGCCTGTGGTGCCAGCTACTCTGGAGGCTGAGGCAGGAGAATGGCGTAAACCCGGGAGGCGGAGCTTGCAGTGAGCTGAGATCCGGCCACTGCAGTTCAGCCTGGGCAACAGAGCAAGACTCCGTCTCAAAAAAAAAAAAAAAAAAAGAATGTTGTCCATCAAAAGACACTATAAAGGAAGTAAAATAAGCCATGAAATGGGGAGAAGGTGTTTTCAACATAACCTGATAAAAGATTAGTATTCAGTAAATGTAAATAACTCATATAAATAAATTATGAAAACAACAAGTAATCCAATTTAAAAATGAGCTAAAGAAGCCACACACGGTGGCTCACACCTGCAATCCCAGCACTTTGGGAGGCCAAGGTGGGAGGACTGCTTGAGCCCAGGAGTTCGAGACCAGCCTGGGCAACATAGCAAGACTTTGTCTCTACTAAAAATGAAAAAAAATTGGCCAGGCGTGGTGGTGTGCACCTGTAGTCCCAGCTACTTGGGAGCTGCGGCAAGAGGATTGCTCGAGCCCAGGAGTTTGAGGTGGCAGTAAGCTGTGATCAAGCCCCTGCATTCCAGCCTGGGCGACAGAGCAAGTTTCAAGATAAAAAAAAAAAAAAGGAGGGAGCAAGAGACAGAGACAGGCATCACCACAATAAACAATGATACCATTTTTACACCATTAGATGTGGTATTGCCAGATTCTTGATTTTTTTTTATTTTTAAGATATAGGGCAACACACTCCTCTACTACCGCCAACAGCCACTTAATACAACAATATGCTTCATCTCAGAGAGTGAGGCACAGACCATGACCCAGCAGCAGCTTTCCTGGGCATGAACCCGAGACTCCGACACCGCCACGTCAGCAGGTGTGTGTCAGAGCGTCCACGGCAGTAGTGCAAGTGGTGAGAGCAAACACTGGAAACAAATCATGTACCCCTGCAGTACACACGTGTGCCCAACAGCGTACTTCTAAGTAAACAGGCACAAATAAACTATAATGTGGTCCCTGAACAGAATGCTCTTCAGCTGTGGAAATGTGTGAAGTTCAGCTACAGGCATCCATGTGGATACACATCAGCTATGCTGAGCAAAAGATCACAGGATAATACAGTAAACAAGGCGTCCTCAAACTTTATCTCAGGACCTCTTTATGCTCCTAAAAATTAATGAGGACACCAAACGGCCTTTGGCATGATCTCGGCTCACTGCAACCTCTGCCTCCTGGGCTCAAGCAATTCTTGTGCCTCAGCCTCCCAAGTAGCTGGGATCACAGGCAAAACACCACGCCCGGCTAGTTTTTGTATTTTTAGTAGAGACAGAGTCTCACCATGTTTCCCTGGCTGATCTTGAACTTCTGACCTCAAGGGATCCACCCGCCTCAACCTCCCAAAGTGCTGGGATTACAGGCGTGAGCCACCACACCCAGCTTGTATCAATAAACTCTATAGACATCTGCCAATCAGAGGTTCTGAACTCCAGAGACTTTGTCCCTTGGGGGCCATTTGTTAATGTCTGAAGACATGTTAGACTATTGCATCTAGTGGGTAGAGACCAGAGACGCTGCCAAACATCCTACAATGCACAGGACAACCCCAACAGCAAAGACTTCTCCAGCCTCCAGTGTCAGCAGTGTCAAGGGTGAGAAACTATAAGCTATAGATAGATATAGATATTCCCAGCAGTCAAAATTGTTTTTTGTTTGTTTGTTTGTTTTTTGAGACGGAGTCTCGCTCTGTAGCCCAGGCTGGAATGCAATGGCATGATCTTGACTCACTGCAACCTCCGCCTGCTGGCTTCAAGGGATCCTCCTGCCCCAACCTCCTGACAAGCACCTGCCACCATGCCCAGCTTTTTTTTTTTTTTTTTTTTTTCATTTTTAGTAGAGATGGGGTTTTGTCACGTTGGCCAGGCTGGTCTCGAACTCCTGACCTTAGGTGATCCACCTGCCTCGGCCTCCCAAAGTGCTGAGATTATAGGCGTGAGCCACTGCCCCCAGTGGTTTTTGTTTTGTTTTGTTTTGTTTTTAATGTGTTTGCTTTTTGTTTTGAGACAGTCTTGCTCTGTCGCCCAGGCTGGAGTGCAGCGGCACAATCTCAGCTCCCTGCTACCTGGACCTCCTGGGCTCAAGTAATCCTCCCACCTCAGCCTCCCAAGTAGCCGGGACTACAGGCATGTGCCACCGTGCCTGGCTGATTTTTGTATCTTTTTGTAGAGACAGAGTTTTGCCATGCTGGCCAGGCTGGCTTCAAACTCCTGGTTTTAAGCTCCTGAGCTCTAGCGATCCACCACCTCTGCCTCCCACAGTGCTGGGATTACAGGTGTGAGCCACCACGCCCAGCCGATATTCAAAATTTAAATTGTTTGGAAGTTACTAATGAGCGTATTTTTTGAAAGAAATTAAAATTCAGAAATTTTAAAATAGGTATTAATTCATTAAAAGTAATAACCCAATACAGATTAACTGAACTCACATTTTTTCTTTTTTTTTTCTTTTTTTTTTTTTTTAAGATAGTCTCGCTCTGTCACCAAGGCTGGAGTGTAGTGGTGCGATCTCAGCTCACTGCAACCTCCGCCTCCCAGGTTCAAGCGATTCTCCTGCCTCAGCCTCCCAAGTAGCTGGGATTACAGGCGCCCGCCACCACGCCCGGCTAATTTTTGTATTTTCAGTAGAGATGGGGTTTCACCATGTTGGCCAGGCTGGTCTGAGCTTCCCAAACGCGTTTCCCGGCTGAGAGCTCGCTGGCGCCCCCAAGAGGCCGCCGAGAGAAAACAGCCTCAGCTTTGATTTTTTTTTTTTTTTTTTTGGTGGGGGGGAGGGTTCTTTGTTTTTGTTTTTTTTTTTCTGGTGGTGGTGGTGGTGGTGGGTTTTTTGTTTGTTTGTTTGGGTTTTTTTGTTTGTTTGTTTGTTCGTTTGTTTTGAGATGGAGCCTCACTCTGTCGCCCAGGCGGGAGTGCAGTGACGTGATCTCGGTTCACTGAAACCTCTACCTCCCTGGTTCAAGTGATTCTCCTGCCTCAACTTTCTGAGTAGCTGGGATTACAGGCGTGCACCACCATGCCCGACTAATTTTTGTATTTTTAGTAGAGACGGGGTTTGGCCATGTTGGCCAGGCTGGTCTCAAACTCCTGACCTCAGGTCATCCGCTCGTCTCCGCCTCCCCAAAGTGCTGGGATTACAGGCGTGAGCCACTGCGCCCAGCTTCAGCGTTGATTTTTTTTTTTTTTTTTTTTTTGAGGCAGAGTCTCGTTCTGTCGCCCAGGCTGGAGTGCAGTGGCCGGATCTCAGCTCACTGCAAGCTCCGCCTCCCGGGTTTACGCCATTCTCCTGCCTCGGCCTCCGGAGTAGCTGGGACTACAGGCGGCCGCCACCTCGCCCGGCTAGTTTTTTGTATTTTTTAGTAGAGACGGGGTTTCACTGTGTTAGCCAGGATGGTCTCGATCTCCTGACCTCGTGATCCGCCCGTCTCGGCCTCCCAAAGTGCTGGGATTACAGGCTTGAGCCACCGCGCCCGGCCCAGCGTTGATTTTTAAAGTGAGAAGAGGGAGCTACAACTGCTTAGAAAAAGACGAGGAAGTCAACCTCACCCAAGAGTCCACCTCACAAAATCTTATTTTCTTTTTCCTTCTTTTTTTTTTTTTTTTTTTTTTTTTTTTTTTAACAAGGTCTGGCTCTGTCATCCAGTCTGGAGGGCAGTAGCGCAATCATAGCTCACTGCAGCCTCAACCTCCTGGCCTGTTCGAGGGGTCCTCCTGCCCCAGCCTCCCAAAGTGCTGAGACTACAGGCATGAGCCGCTGCGCCTGGCCACAAAATCTTCCTTGAAAGACAAATTCAAGTCAAAGACAAATGCCTGGCATTTGTACCTTGGGGCAGCTTTGTTCTCTTATATTTTTAAAGTGTCACAGGAGAGAGAGCTTTTAGGAGACAGATTCCCAGTCCACACATACCCCAGATCTATTCAAACAAATTCCGTATGATCCGAATTAGAGGCTGCAGCTGGAACCACAGGTGGGTTTGTCTGTATGGTGGAATGGGAATAAAGAAGGCTGGCCACAGTGAGGAGGGTTTGGGTAATTTTAAGGGTGTTTACGTTTTAAGTTCCTATTCATGAGGTCACTGTCATTAGTGAATTTACCATTCACAGCTTCAGCGGCTCCCAACCCCAAAGGCTCACAAGACCTGAATTTGGGTCACGAGACCCGAATCCTGAGTGCTGCAAGATCTGTATGTGGCACAAGCCACTCAGGAAGAACCTCTCCTGGCCTGGCATTTGTACTGGGGGTGGCTTTGCTCTCATATTTTTAAAGCATTTTGTGGGGAAAATTCTATTCCGGTGCTATTTATAAACCTGGGGATGTGCAGAGACTGTCTCCTCCTACCCAGGGGGTCTCCTCCCACCCAGGGGGTCTCCCTCCACCCAGGGGGTCTCCTCCCACCCAGGGGGTCTCCCTCCACCCAGGGGGTCTCCTCCCACCCAGGGGGTCTCCCTCCACCCGGAGGGTCTTCTCCCACCCAGGGGGTCTGCTGCATGGCTTTGGGCTGTCCCATGGAGTTTGCTGTCATCCCGGGGATTATTAAAACACAGGGGTGCAGCCGGGCACGGTGGCTCAAGCCTGTAATCCCAGCACTTTGGGAGGCCGAGACGGGCGGATCACGAGGTCAGGAGATCGAGACCATCCTGGCTAACACAATGAAACCCCGTCTCCACTAAAAATACAAAAAAATTAGCCGGGCGTGGTGGCGGCGCCTGTAGTCCCAGCTACTTGGGAGGCTGAGGCAGGAGAATGGCGGGAACCCGGGAGGCGGAGCTTGCAGTGAGCCGAGATCGCGCCACTGCACTCCAGCCTGGGCGACAGAGCGAGACTCCGCCTCAAAAAAACAAACAAACAAAAAAAAACACAGGGGTGCTCTGGGAAGGTGCCCACTCCCCCCTCACTTCAGCCATATGATTCTGGTACTTTCCACCCAGTAGCCCCTGTAAAATTGAACCAATGCTGCCTGCTTCTCCATTACCATCACTGTGTTATGGTGATGAGATGAGATTCTCTTGTCACCAGGTAACCATGGTGGCCTCCAGGGCATGTCGGTCCCCACCACTCATCAGAGCACAACTATCCACTGAGCCACGGGGTCCTAAAATCCAGGCCCTGACGCCACACCAGAGTCACCCTGCGTCCCGAACTGAAGGCAGATTAGGAAGAGATGTCTCGTGGCTAATCAAACACAGTCACAGTGTGTACAAATAGGTCCTGCCAAAAGCATCTCTCCATCAATTAGCCACGGAGCTGCTCACAGACCTTAAACAGACATATAGGAGAACCTGAAGCTGGCATAAGAGCGGAGTGATGACGTGGGAGGGTTAGGAAGGCTCCTGAAACCTGCCCCTCCCCCCATTGTCACAGGGCAGCAAGCACATCCCCACTTGCTCACCACCGAAGAGGTCGGGAATAGCAAGAGTCACCTTCGACTTGTACAGGCTGAACCCCAAGGACTTCATCGGCTGTCTTAACGTGAAGGCCACCATGTATGAGATGTACTCCGTGTCCTACGACATCCGGTGCACGGGACTCAAGGGCCTGCTGAGGTAATACACTCCAGGGGTCACCTCCGGGGGTCTGGAGACTGCACAGGTGCGGGACGGGCAGCGGGTCCCCACCCTGTTCCTCTGGGCTCCCAGGCTGGCTAGCACTGGTAGGGGCACTTGGAGTCATGTTGTCTGGAGCAGGTCACCTCTTACCCCACAAGCTCATTTCACACAACAGGAAGTCTCAACCCAAAACAGATTTGTTTCTTCCAAAGACCATTAACTATTCATTAGAAACAAAAGCTAAATAATAAATATAAAGAGAAACCACATTCATTTTAAGAAACCACACTCATTTTAGAGCCCTTAATTCTAGGTGATGACAACTAAAATCAGAGCCATGGAGGTTGTGCCAGGTTTGTATAGAGCGGCCACCTAGACCCTGGCAAATCACACGCTTCCTGTACCCCTGATAACTTCAGCCTCACCAGTAAGGCGGCATGGGCATGTGTCTTCTCCACATAATGCCAGGGCACCGTCATCCCAAAGACGAGGGCCAGGCTGGCTGCACAGCATCCCAGGAGAGAGAACTTTTAGAAGAGAGATTCCCGATCCAACCATACTCCAGACCTATTCAAACGAATTCCGTGTGATCAAAAGGAGCCTTCCTGGGTGTTCCTGCTCCATAACCGGGTGGCACCCCTGCCACTGAGCCTGGGACTGAGAGAGACACCAGCAGTCCCTGCTCTAAGGAATCAGCTGTGTGACCTTTCACAGACTCCTTAACTTCTCTGAGCCTTGCTTTTATCTTTAAATGAGAAGGTTGGTCAGGTGTGGTGGCTCACACCTATAATCCCAGCACTTTCAGAGGCCGAGGCTGGCAGATCACTTGAGGACAGGAGTTCGAGACCAGCCTGGCCAACATGGTGAAACCCTGTCTCTGCTAAATATATAAAAATTAGCTGGGCGTGGTGGCAGGTGCCTGTAATCCCAGCTACTTGGGAGGCTGAGGCAGGAGAATCGCTTAACCCCGGGAGGCAGAGGTTGCAGTGAGCTGAGATCCACCACTGCAGTCCAGAGTGGGTGACAGAGCGAGACTCTCTCAAAAATAAATAAATAAATAAATAAAAATTAAATAAATAAATAGAATGAGAAGGTTGCTTCCAAGCTCTTTACGATTGCCAAGGCTCTAAATACACCTATTTCTACTCCAGTAAATTGATCGTTGATCCTTAAAGAACTAATCTCTGGAGAGAGTGGATGGGAGAGCGGCTAACTGCAGTAGAAAGGTCTTCGAGTTGAAAAGTTTTGCAACTGCTGCCATTCCAGTGCCCCCTGCACATCCCCCTGGGCAGGGCCGCCCGTTTCTCTTTGAGGGTGTTGGTTCCGTGCCCCGTGGCCTTGACAACTGCCCTGATCTGCGCTGAGCACAGCAAAGGGGAAATGCTCTCCTCTCAGGGGTCTCCCGACCCCACCTGCGGTGGGACAGGGTGTGTGGCTTCTCTGTGGCCTCAGTTTCCCATTCAGAGCCATCAGTGGCTGACTCTAAACTACAGTCACTGTTACGTGTTGGAGTCTTGACTCCCAGGAGAGCTTCGTTTTTTTCTTTTTGCCGGGATAGGAGAAAATAGTTTGACACTTGGATTTTAAAAGTGAGGCAAGCAAGAGAGTTACAGCTGAAATAGGTATAATGAAGAAAGCTAACCTCACCTAAAATTCCGCCTCAGCAAAATCTTTTTTTCTTTTTCTTCTCTCTTTTTTTTTTTTTCTTGAGACTGAATCTCACTCTGTTGCCCAGGCTGTAGTGCAGGGGCGCAATCTTGGCTCACGACAAGCTCCTCCTTTCAAATTCAAGCAATTCCCGTGGCTCAGCCTCCTGAGTAGCTGAGATTACAGGCACCACCACACACTCAGCTAACTTTTGTATTTTTAGTAGAGACGGAGTTTCACCGTGTTAGCCAGGCTGGTCTCAAACTCCTGGCCTCAGGTGATCCACCCACCTCGCCTCCAAAAGTGCTGAGATTATAGGCGTTAACCACGTGCCAGGCCCTTTTTCTTTTTTTAAAGAAACAGGGTCTCACACTGTCCCCCAGGCTGGAGTGCAGTGGCACAATCATAGCTTACTCCTGCTTCCAACTCCTGGGCTCAAGCAGTCCTCCCACCTCAGCCTCTGAAAATGCTGGGATTATGGACGTGAGCCACCACACCTGGCCACAAAGTCTTTCTTGAAAGACAAGTTCAGCCTTCTTGTTACTAATTTTATTCTCTGATGGATCTGATGACACTGCAAGCAGCCACGGAACTCACAACAGCCCCACACTGGAGGCACCGCCTGCGGGGACCCTGTTGTGGGTAGTGGGAGCAGTGGACCCTCCTGATGAGACAGCTGCCCAGGCTCGGCTATCACATCCCCATGGGCTCGGCCACTACTGAATGTCCTGCTACTACCTTAGGAAGGGAAGGGGTTTCAGTATCAGGGTCCCTAGAACAGCCCAGCAGCCACTACTACCTTAGGAAGGGAAGGGGTTTCAGTATCAGGGTCTCTAGAACAGCCCAGCAGCCGAAGCCCAGGACGCAGCACACCTGTGCAGGTGCGGCCATCTGCTCCGCACAGAGCTTGCCGGCCACTCAACAAGCAGGCCATGCTTCAGCTGGCTCGTGGGAGCCGTGCTTCTTGGGGTGGTCTTGGGCCAGCAGCAGGGGGTCCCCAGGGAGCTCACAGAGACCTGCTCCCGGCCAGACCCACTGCTGTGGCAGCTGCATCTGTGCCAGCCTTGGGACACGTGTGCCCTGACAGTGCTCAGACAGCCACGCTCTAAATGTGAGCCTGGCCTCCTCCGAGTGCCTTTTGGTGGGGGAGTGAAGTATCCCCATCCTGTCTGTTTCTCACTTGCCCCAGATCCCAAGCTAAAGCCTCCCGATCTCACTCTGTCACAGGAGCCTGCTGCGGTTCCTGTCCTACTCCGCCCAGGTGACGGGACAGTTTCTCGTCTATATGGGCACATACATGCTGCGGGAGCTGGATGACAAGGAAGAGCGACCATCCCTCAGGTCACAAGTCAAGGGCCGGTTCACGTGTGGATAGGGATGCAGGCTGTTGCGGGCTCTTGAGCCAAACACTGGGTTTCATTTGGCTCAATGATGAGTGTTGAAGATGTTTTTATGTTCTGAGCCACATGCACTTGTAGGCACTGGTCACGCCCGTCAGGAGCAGTGCCCGGGAAAGGAAAGGGTCTGGTGGTACATGAAGTAGGGGCAGTGGGCAGGGTACCCTGGGGGGGAGGCGTGGAGGGCCCCGGGGGCCATGGGAAGGGACCACGCAGCAGGCGTGCCCAGGAGCAGTGTGCATGTGTCCGAGCCATTTGGTCCGTCATCTCCTGCAATAAACCCATCGCAAGAATGACCTTGTGTATGATACTTCTTGCATCTCCTTTATCTCTCAAAAGAGCAAAAAAAAAAAAAAAAAAAAAACCTATCAGAACAGCAAAAAAAAAAAAATTTACGTAGAAGCAAAACTCATCCAGGAATATTCTAACAGATATAATCCCTCATAAGTCTTTATTAGTGCTACAAAAATAACAAGCTGCAAAATGTTATTGTATGTTTTTTTCACATATGAATCTTTAGTGGGCTCAGAGGGGCCCTCATACTGAAGGACTCAAATTTTGGAGGTCTTCAAGGACTTTTTTACTTTCTGCTTGTGAGAATGAAAGGACTTTACTTTTTTAGCCTCCTTTTTTTTTTTTCTTTTTGAGACAGGGTCTAGCTCTGTCACCCAGGCTGGAGTGCAGCAGGGTGATCTTGGCTCGCTGCCACCTTGACCTCCCTGGGCAGAAGCCATCCTCCCACCTCAGCCTCCTGAGTAGCTGACATTACAAGTGCATGCCACCACGCCTAGTGTTTTAATTTTTGTAGATATGGGGTCTTGCTATGTTGCTCAGACTTGTCTCAAACTCCTAGACTCAAGAAATCCTCCTGGCTGGGGAGGGGGGACCCCCTCATATGGAAGCAAGAGCGGACCTCAGGCCCCGAAGCAGGAAGCTCTGGGCTACACCTTGTCCCCTCATCGGATGCCCTGGTTTACACCTCATGCTGCAGACACAGCAGCTGGTGGCTCTAGCAGATGCTAGGAGAAAAATCTTTCCCGATTAAGAAATGATGCCTTGGAGTCCTTTTCCTTCCCTAGCCATCAGCTCTGGCCATGGAAAGACACCACAGTGTGTCCTGGAACCCTAGAGGAAGATAAACTCTCCCGTCCCCTCCCCCGTTCCCGGGGCTCCCAGCGGCTGCTCAGCCGTTCCCGGCCTGGACAGTCCTCCCTTCACGGACAGTTTGCAGTCCCCTTTGAGAAGCCCCGTGACCAGCGTCTGCCTGAGTCCTGGGCTCTCACTGTGTCTAAGCCAGTTCTTGCAGAAGCTGGGCCAGGCCCCACAGCAGGACAGACAAAAGGAAAGGAGGTGGCGTTCCTCGAAGCACAGGCTCTTCTTTCACATCACAAAAAAACAGGCACTTCCAGTATTGTCCCTTCTTTCCTTCCAGAATGAGCTGCTGCTGCTGGTAGAGCAAGGGTTACAAAGACTGTTCAGACAGCCGTCTGCTGTGATTTCAAAACATTTCCTATATAAGGAGCTCCTGACAGCCCTGCCCCCTCGGGCCAGCAGGAGAGGAGGTGAGGAGGGCTGCAGCCAGGCGTGTGGCTGGCCTGGCCGAGGGGCGCTCACTCCTGCCTCTCACTGACTCTAGGCTTGCGTCACTTCCCAAGGATTCCACCAGCCTGGGCAGTGACTGCCTGGCTTCCAAAAAAGGAATTTTCACTCCAGTGCCTGATCCCGTTGACTTAGCCACTGCCCTCACTCGCTGGGAGGCCCTAGGCCTGCGTCCAGATGGTAGGGCCCAACCTGTTTGAAGGGAGGAACTGAGGAAGGAACAGGCCTGGCCTTCTCCCCATAGGAAGGGGGAGGAAATTCAGAAGGACCCCTTGGCATTTGGGAACTTCTGAAGGAGCTGCGGCCCACCTCCTCCCTGTCTCCTGTGCCCATGATTCACGGGGTAGCCTGGGACGGAGCAGCCTCTTTGCAGAACCCTCAGGGAGGCTCCAGGCCTCAGGGAGGAGGCAGCAAAGGCTGGTTTTGCTGTCGTCAAAGGCTTCTGGGGGCCCTTGGCCAGGAAACTGGCGGAACTGAAACCCACTCCCTGAAGGGAAGGGTCCCAGCAGGCGTGGCTCTCTCTTGTCTCTGGTTCTGATTAGATGACGGGCACTCCAAATGTGACACTTTCGTGTTCTCATTTTAGTTTCTCTATCATCTGCATTTAGCCTGCTAGCTCACACCAGGATGTGCCCCATGCGGGTGGGGGTGGGTGGGGGGAGCCACGGTGCTCCAGCGGGCGCTGGGGCCTGGATTCTGTGGGGCCTGGACACCACCACTACCTAAGCCTTCAGCTGAATTCCCCAGGGTGGAGTGTGTGTCCTGTTCAGCGGCTGAGTGTTCGTCTGTGTGTCTTGGATGGGGCCAAGCTGAAGAGCTCAAATTGGAAATTATTCACTTCTAGAATCACATTTCAGAAAAAAACAAATGGTTCCCATGAGCCCAGGTTCCCCACTCCTGCAGTCACTGCATGGGCCTGGACGTCACTCCTGTGTTCCCTGTTTCAGGCGCACAAACACAGGTGGCTGCCATGAGCATCCCCCACACACGCATCCCGGTGTGTTTCCACCACACCATCCCCAGGCTGGATTCACGGAGCGCTTTCTGCCAGGAGCAGGGAACAGGGTGCAGGCCTGGGATGAACTGAGGACATCAGAATGAAATGCTCTAAGAGCCATGACCTCATGGCCAGAGACAGACTCTGGCTAAAATCACCCACAGTGACCTGACTTCGCAGCCCAAGCCGCTGTCTTCATCCATAAAATCAGGATCCAATCAACTTGGCCCAGGAACTCCATTCCCAAACAGATTTTCTTGGCCCAGACTTTAAAAATGTAAACACGGCCTCTCTTCCAGCCAGCACGTTTCAGCCGGCCGACCACAGCTTGCCCTTCTCCTGCACCACAAGGAAGGTGCTGCCACCCGCCAGGCCAGGAACCCAGCCCAAAGCCATGGCGTAGGCCTCTTAAGGACCAGGATTCCAAAACTGGGGTCCATTTCCCCAAAGGAAGTTCTCCTTTCTCCTCATGTGATGAGGTGGGGGCTGCTCATCAAGACACACATGGGGGTCGACCTCCACCTGGGATGGCACTGTCCCCATGCAGGGTTTCCTGGCTCCCACTATCTCCTGTGTTATAAATAAACGGTAGGGAAAGAAAAACTGTGGCAGCACCTTTCCCTACCACCACCTCCACAGGGACGGCTGTTCCTTGCTACAATTACCAGCCCCCTCCAGCAGCGGAGGCCACGGGGCGACCCACCCGCGCTCCAGATCTGACAGCCCGACCCAGTGGACCAGGAGGACAGATCTTTTATGGTATTGTGGCACAATCAACGTAACTTTTTTTTTTTTTTTTGAGATGGAGTTTCGCTCTTGTTGCCTAGCCTGGAGAGCAATGGTGTGATATTGGCTGACTGCAACCTCTGCCTCTTGGGTTCAAGCGATTCTCCTGCCTCAGCCTCCTGAATAGCTGGGATTACAGGTACCCGTCACCACACCCAGCTAATTTTTGTGTTTTTGGGGTTTCACCATGTTGGCCAGGCTGGTCTCGAACTCCTGACCTCAGGTGATCCACCCGCCTTGGCCTCCCAAAGTCCTGGGATTACAGGCATGAGCCACCATGCCTGGCCAACATAACATTTTTTTAAACGTAGCTTCCACCTCAGCCTCCCAAGGAGTTGACACTACGGGCGCACACCACCACACCCAGCTCATCATTTTTTTTTTTTAAGATTTTTTTTTTATTTTTTCAGCAACAGGATCTTACTATGTTGCCCAGGCTGCTCTCCAACTCCTGGACACAAGTAATCCTCCCACCTCAGCCTCCCAAAGGACTGGGATTATGGGCATGAGCTATTGCTTTAAAAATCTGATGGCCAGTGCAGTGCCTTTTATTCTGAGCCTCCACTCCACTGAGTGGTCTCCTCTGCTTCATGCCCCAGGGGCTCATGTGCCAAGGCGCTGGGGGACACACCCCAACTATGGGGAGTTGTGTTCCACCCAGGCCTCGCCTGAGATGCCCACTGGCTGTGACTGTTGGAGGCCAGTCTGTGAAGGTCACTGCAGCAACTCCCGCAGCCCACCCGTGAGGCATCTTCAGGACACCACTGCTGGGAGCCGGGTTCTCCCTGCCACTCCAAGCCCAGGCCAGGCACCAGGACCCCTGTGATATTTTGATATAATAAAAAATACATATTTGGCTTCTGCCCCCATTCCTGACATAGATGTCCTAAAATCTGTCATCTCCTGAGCGATAGGAATGGCTGACACAGAGCTCCTAAATCCTTTGGAATTTCCTGGGTTATGGGGGCATCTTTTTTTTTTTTTTCAAGACAGCATCTCGCTGTGTCACCCAGGCTGGAGTGTAGTGGTGTGATCACAGCTCACTGCAGCTTCCTGGGCTCAAGTGATCCACCCACCTCAGCCTCCTGGGTAGCTGGGAGTACAGCTGCAGGCCACCACGCCCGGCTAATCATTTTTATTTTTTGTAGAGATGAAGTCTCCTTATGTTGTCCAGGCTGATCTCAAATTCCTGGGCTCAAGTGATCCACCTGCCTTGGCCTCCCGAAGGGCTGGGATGACAGGCATGAGCCCCTGCACCCGGCCAGGAGCATCTTTTGAGGAGACTCTTGGTGGGCTCCTGCATGACCTCAGGATGGGGGCTGGTTGCCAGGGAAACCAGCCCTGTGATTAGTGAGTCAGGACTTTCAGCTGCATCCCCCAACCTCGAGGGAAGGGAGAGGAGCTGAAGGTTGAGTCGATCACCAGTGGCCAGTGAGGTAATTAATTATGCCTATGTAATGAAGCCTCCAGAAAAATCCCCAAGCTACAGGGCTCGGGGAGCTTCCAGAGAGAGAACACGTAGAGGCTCTGAGATGGTGGTGTCCAAGGAGGCCATGGAAGCTCCACGCCCTGCCCCACATGCCTTCCCCATGAGTGTCTTCATCTGTGTCCTTTGTAATATCCTTCATAACACAACGGTAAACATATATAAAGTGTTTCCCTGAGTTCTGTGAGCTACCCTAGCAAATTAACCACCCTTAAGACGGGGATCAGGGGAACTGAGATTTGTCACAGCTTGGGGCTTGCAATGGGCATGAAAAGTGAGGGCAGCCTTGAGGTCTGAGCCCTCAGCCTGTGGTGTTCGATGCCGTCTCCAAGAGGACAGCATCAGAGTGGAATTGAATGAGAGGACACCCAGCCGGTGTCTGCTGGAGAACGGGTTGCCTGTGGGGAGAAATCCCACGTTTTAGGTGACCTG